GCTTCTTGACACGCGCAACTTGAACCTGTCTCACCTACCATCCAAACTCCGGCCTCGCTTCTGTGGTCCATTTCTCGTGGAGGCACAGGTGACACCTCCCCTTGCGCTTACCAGATACATGGAAGCTTCACAACGCTTTCCATGTTCAGCTACTAAAGCCCTACAAGGACCCCAACCAACAGTTCCAGGGACGGCAGCTACCGCCACCTCCACCTGTACTCGTACAGGATGAACCAGAGTACGAGATCGAGCGTGTTCTCACTCATCGGCGCCGCGGCAAGTGTTGTAAGAGTATCTTAGGCAAGATAGTAGGAACCCTAGGTATGGCGAGAGTTAGGAACGAGAGTCGAGAGAGAAGGCCAAAAAACAGAATGATTCAATATTGAGCGAGGGTACAAATAGGAGAGAACAAACAAGAAAGGTGCACCACCAAATAGGAAAACGTTATAACTACAGTATTCTACACTACAGGCAGTTATAGAACAATATATAGAATTATATATTATTCTGACACGCCCCCATAAGTGCCTGTAGGGAAGAATGTGCAATCAACGCCCCCATAATGGGGTACACCAGACAGAGTGCAGCGGAAGAAACAGTGGCAGGCAAAAGCACTGATAGCCGGTGCAGAAGTGGCAGATACTGCTGTAGCACACCCTTAGCCAAGGCAGAAACAAAAGCAGGTGTAGGGGCGGCAGGTCGCCTGAGGAGCAGGCTCTGTGGCTGCAACGTGCAGCAGGACAGCAGCGGCTCGACGGCAGCACCTGCAGGCCCCAGCAGCAGGTAACAGAAGCAAAGGCAGGTGGCGGCAGGGGCGGCAGCTGGATGTGCCACGGTAGCAGCGGGACGGCAGCAGCAGATGCCCGGCTGACTTCCGCCACCCTCTCTCACCCCCCCCCCCACTGCTGCTCACGCAGCTGTGAGAGAGAGAGGAGGAAGGGCGGCTGCTGGCTCGATATAATCTCTCTCGCCACCCCCTCACACTCCCCCGATTCCCCCATAGCGACAGGCGCTGCAGGGAGAGAGAGGAGAGAGGAGGGCGGCGGCCGGTTCCTGCGGGTACACTCCCGCCACCCCTGCACCCTCCCCCCCACAGCGACAGTCGCGTATGGGGCGATAAAGGGCGACTGCAGGCGCTGCTGGCGTCTCACAGCGTCCATCCCATCACACCGCCTCCCCCGATGTCCGCCACGCCCACGACCTCCCCCCGCAGCAGGAGCGCGCACGGCAGCAGCAAGTGCGACAGTTGCAGCAAGACCGGCGGGAGGGTGGGCGGGGACAGTTGCTCGGACACGACGAGCGGGATAGAGGGCCGTAACGGAGGCGCGACGAAGCTGCGACGGGGCAGCGTGGCCGCGAACGACGGGGCGACGAGGCAGCGCGACGAGCAGAGCGCCGCCTTCGCCCCGTCGATCGCGCTGACGATCAGGACCGTCGCGGATTTCGACGCGACGGTCATTGTGGCGGCAAGATTGCAGCAGAAACTCGTCGGGAGGGAGGGCCGCCATGCTAGGGTCGAAAAGCGGTGGGCCCGTTGATCGGAAACTAGCTCGATACCATGTTGTAAGAGTATCTTAGGCAAGATAGTAGGAACCCTAGGTATGGCGAGAGTTAGGAACGAGAGTCGAGAGAGAAGGCAAAAAAACAGGATGATTCAATATTGAGCGAGGGTACAAATAGGAGAGAACAAACAACTACAGTATTCTACACTACAGGCAGTTATAGAACAATATATAGAATTATATATTATTATGACAGCAAGACCCTCGAGTTCCTGATACGCTGGAAGGTATATTACCGACCCCACTGAGGACAGTTGGGTTGCAGAAGCTGATATGGGCAACGCACGCCGTGCTCTCAAGGACTATCTTGTCAAGCAGGGTGTATCTCACGCCACCCAGCTTTGAGGGGGGGACGTGTGAGAGTACGACGGCTTATGCTTGTTATTCATGCTTGCTTTTACCTCATAACGCTAATACTAGCTTAGGATTTTTTTTGGCATGCATGAATTGCTTGAATTCCTAGGCTAGGTGCTTTTCTATATTTTATTATAGTTATAGCACCGAGCTAGGTTACGTACACCGAATTCTAGGCTATTTGGTGGCCATCGAAATGCCTTCTACCGAATTCGGGAAGGGTCTGTTCGGGACGCTTCGCGACCCGAGGAACCTTCGCGTAACACCTGGTTACTGCCCTTGTGTCGAGCCTATATATAGCCTCGTGTTGTACCCAGGTCAGTTATTCAATTCACAATCACATTTTCTGAGCTCGATTCTAGATCCTCACACCGAGCCTAGTGCCGGCCCGATCTAGTCCCGTTCGTTCGTTACCGCTCGTTCTTCCTCCCGATCTAGCGTAGCCCGATCCAGCGTAGCCCGATCTAGTGTACCGCTGCCCGTCGCGCTGCGCTTCCCCCCCCCCCTTCTGCCCGTCGAGTCGCGCTTCCCCCTCTGCTGCCCGTCGAGTCGCGCTTCCCCCTGCTGCCCATCGAACCTCGCTTCCCCCCGCTGCCAGTCGATCCGCGCTTCCCCCCCCCCCCCCCCCCCCCTGCCCGTATGCCGCGCTTTCCCCCCTCATCGCGTCGCGCCCGCTGCCCTGCGCTGCGCCCACAGCCGTCACCCACCGCAGCGCCGCGCCAGCTGCCGTCGCCCCCTGCCGCGCCCGTCGCCGCTGCGCCCGTCGCCGTCGCCCGTCCCCGCGCGCGTCGCCGCAGCACCCGCTCCCCTCGCCCGCCGCTGCGTGTGCTGCCCTCGCCCGTCGCCGCTGCGCCCCCGTCGCCCGTCCCCGCGCGCGTCGCTGCTGCACCCGCTCCCGTCGCCCGCCGCTGCGCGCGCTGCCGTCGCCCGCCGCGCGCGCTGCGGTCCCCCGCTGCTGTTGTGCCTGCTAGGGACGCCCGCTGTCGCGTCCGCCATAGCGTCCGCTCCCCCCGCCCGTCGCAGCGCTCGCTATTGTCACGGCTGCTGGTCTCGCCTCCGGCCGCGCCTCTCCTTCACTAGGGTGCCGCCCTAGTTCCCCACTTTCCTGCCTCTGCTTTCACGTCATTTTTAGCTATGGCGACTCCGCGTGTTCTTCGCTTCGACGCTGACGGTAGACCCCTTGACTTTTCAATCTGGCATCTGCGCGCTCGCCGTCTCTTAGAGAGTCAGGTCCAGTGAGGCGAGACTCTTTGGGCGCACGCTACTGGTGCCCTCCCTGCGCCCCCCGAACCTACGCCTTTAGGCCCTGCCCCGGACGACGCTGCTAGAGCCCACTTTGCCAGCCAGCGCGCTGACCTGACAGCTTGGACGTCGCGTGACGCTGCGGCCTGCATCGCGCTCAGCACCCTCCTCCCTGAGTCTGAGGAGGTCCACTTTACTCAGGTTCGCACTGCTGCTGAGTACCTGACTGCGATTAAGGCCCGCTACTCTACTCCCGCTACTGTCTCTCTTGGCCGCCTTTTCCTCCCGTTCCTGTTCCCTGATCTCGCCTCGTTTGAGCGCTCTGCTGACTTGATTGCTCACCTCCGCTCGCTCGACTCTAGCTACCGCGCTGCTTGCACTGCTTCCTCCCCCCATGGCGATTACCATCTTTTTCATCGCCACTAGCCTCCCTGACCGCCTTGCCTCCGTTCGTGACGCGCTTCTCCTGAAGCACCCTAGTGAGCTCACTATCGAGGTCCTTGAGCCTGCGCGCAAGGACGTCAAGAGCAACCTCCGCTCGAGAGCCGCTGCCTCTGGTGCTGTGCCCCCCCCACTCTTCCACGGGTGCACAGTCCCGCAGTTGCCCACCTTTACTGCCTCTCTCGCCACTGCCGCTACTGACGCGACCGCAGCTGCTGTTACGACTTCGTCGCGGTCCCGCGGTAGGGGTGGCAAGAAGGGCGGTACTGGCGGTGGTGGTGGTGGAGGCGGAGGTAGTGGGGGTGGCGTTGCGACTGGCGGTGGTGGGAGTGCAGGACCTGGAGAGACGTCTCGTGCAGCGACCGGTGACTCCACTGCGCCTGCTGGTGGTGGCGACGCCCGAGTTCGTCAGTCGCCTCCTGTACTGCCGGCCCCGGTGGGTGGAGCAGCGGCGTAACACCGGGCCCAGCGTCAGCAGCAGCTTCAGCAGCAGCAGCAGCAGCAGCAGCCCCTCTCCTCCCAGCAGCCTCCGCAGCAGCAGCGGCCGCAGCTGGCTTCAGGGTCGAGGCCGAGTCAGCGTTACGGCTCCGCTCTGTGGGGCATGTCTGCTGAGCAATTAGCTGACCTGATTGGAACTTCCCATGCTATGTATGCTGTTGTTGACTCTAGTGTTTCTGACTCTGTTTACTCTGGTGTTGTTAGCTTAGGTGCTAGCCTTGCTCCGTTGCCTGTTGCTAGTGTAGGTTCTTGTGTAGACACTGTCCGGCGGCTACCTCGGAGGACGCTTCACTGTCTTTCACGCTGGACTCTGGAGCCTCGCACTGCTTCTTTCGTGACAGCACGACACTTACACCACTTCCTGCGCCTGTCTCTGTGGCGCTGGCTGATCCCACCTCGGGACCAGTCACTGCGCATCACACTACCACTCTGCCGTGTCCTGCTGCTCCCTTCGGGCCTCTCACTGGGTTTCACGTCCCCTCGTTCTCCCGGAACTTGGTGGGCGTGCGACCCCTCGTGAGTCAGCACGTGGGTGTGTGGTTTGAGCCTTCTGGAGAGACTGCGGTGTGTGTTGACGGGGACTCTTACCAGCCTCTGGCCACCTTTGCTGCTGAGCCGGGCTTTGGTCTCTACACTCTTCACACTGGCCCGCTTGCAAAGCAGCGGCCGCAGCCGCCACAGCATCCGCAGTCGCCGCAGCAGCAGCAGCAGCCGCAGCAGCCCCTCCTCCCTGCCCCCGTCCCTTCCCCCTGTCCCCTCCCTGCGTCTCACCAGGTTGCTACGTCCCCTCAGGTAGTCGCGTCCAGTCCAGTTGCTGCGTCTTGCTCCTGGAGGTCGCTTGCTCACCCCACCGTTCTGTGGCACCACCGGATGGGGCACCCTTCTCTTCCCCGTCTGCGCGCTATGTCTAGTCAGCGTCTTGTCTTAGGTCTCCCGCGTGTCTTGCCGTCGCTGCCGCCGTCCCTTGCGCCACCGTGCGGTCCTTGCGTCGAGGGTCGGCTGCACGCCACCCCTCACTCCTCCTCCCTTCGTCCAGCCACCGAGCCTTTTGAGACGCTCCACTTGGACGTCTGGGGCCCCGCCTCTCGCCTTGGCCCTGAGCGTGAGCGTTTCTTTCTGGTGGTCGTTGACGACTACTCCCGCTACACCACAGTGTTCCCCCTGGCGAAGAAGTCTGACGTGACTTCTACGCTGATCAGGTGGTTGCTTACCACCCAGGACACTCGTGGTCGTCGTGTCAGCTGTCTTCACTCCGACCGCGGGGGTGAGTTTCGCTCCGGCATTCTCGCTGGATTCTGTCGCGAACAGGGCATTCGTCAGTCCTGGACGCTTCCAGAGTCCCCACAGCAGAATGGGGTTGCTGAGCGCCGCATAGGCTTGGTCATGGAGATCGCCCGCACCTCCCTGACTCACGCCCGTGCCCCCCATTTTCTGTGGCCCTACGCGGTTCGGTACGCCGCGCACCAGCTGAACCTCTGGCCACGCGTCTCTCGGCCAGAGGCTTCACCGACCAGTCTTTGGACCGGGTCCCCTGGTGTTGCGTCGCGGTTTCGTGTCTGGGGTTGCTTGGCTCTTGTCCGCGACACCTCCGCGGACAAGCTCTCGCCTCGCGCCGTTCCTTGTGTCTTCCTTGGTTTCCCTGAGGACTCCTCTGACTTCACCTTTTACCACCCTCCCTCTCACCGGTTCTTTGACTCCCTTGACGTTCGTTTCGAGGAGTCCACCCCCTACTACGTCAGGTACCCCAGTCGAGGTCTCCCGGTTCCTCCTCCCCCTCTCTTCCTGACTACCGCCCCCCCTCCTGCTCCCCCGGTACAGCCTCCCCCCCCTGGTCCAGCCCCGTCAGGTGTGTCCCAGGCTACCCCTCCACCTTCGGTAGCCCCTCCAGTCCAGCCTCCCTCCCCACAGTCTTCCTCGCAACGTGCTGCAGGTGCTAGCTCTAGAGAGGTTGGTGCTGAGGCCGTTCCTGTACCGGTTTCTGGTTCTGGGGGTGCTGGAGTTGGAGCTGAGCCGGTGGTTGCAGAGGACTCTTGTCTTCCGAGAGCTGGTGTTGGTCGCGTGGACTCTGGGGGTGCTACGTTTGGGGGTGAGGGTGCGCCTCCTTCGGGTTCTGGTGAGCCTGGGTGTGGAGCTGGTGTTGGTGCTGGCTCTGGGGGTGGTGCGCTTGGTACTTCGGAGGTGGACTCTGGGGCTGCCGCTGCCCCGGACACTACTCCGCCCCCACACCCCTACCCGACTCGGCACCAGGTTCGCGTTCGCTGTGCCCGTGAGGAGCAGCTGGAGTTGGAGAGAGAGGAGAGGGAGTTACAGCGGCTGGAGGAGCAGCAGCAGCAGCAGCAGCAGCAGCAGCAGCAGCAGCAGCAGCAGCAGCAGCAGAAGCAGCAGCAGCAGCAGCAGCAGCAGCAGCAGCAGCAGCAGCAGCAGCAGCAGCAGCAGCAGCAGCAGCAGCAGCAGCAGCAGCAGCAGCAGCAGCAGCAGCAGCAGCAGCAGCAGCAGCAGCAGCAGCAGCAGCAGCAGCAGCAGCAGCAGCAGCAGCAGCAGCAGCAGAAGCAGCAGCAGCAGCAGCAGCAGCAGCAGCAGCAGCAGCAGCAGCAGCAGCAGCAGCAGCAGCAGCAGCAGCAGCAGCAGCAGCAGCAGCAGCAGCAGCAGCAGCAGCAGCAGCAGCAGCAGCAGCAGCAGCAGCAGCAGCCGCAGCAGCAGCAGCAGCAGCAGTCACCTCCTCCCCCTGTCTCTGGTCTGCGGACCCTTGGTCTCCCCTCTCGCTCTCCTTCCTCCTCCCCCTCTCCTCCTGTCTACGGTCCCACGTTTCCTCCTCCTGACTCCTCCCCCGCTGTTTTCCCCAGTTCTCTGCCTTTGTCCTCTCCTCCTCCGTCTCGTACTTGGACTACTCGTCGCTCCCCTCGTGCTCGTCCCTCGTCCCCTGTTCCCTTCACTGACCTTCGTACTGCCCTGTTGCGTTCTAGTCCGCCTCGTTCGGCTCCTCCTGTGCTTCCTTCTCCTCCTGAGTCGGCCCTCACAGCTTCTCTCTCTACTCCTGTCACTGACTACTACCGCACGTACCGTCCTGTTCTCTCTCGTGTTCTTGCCTCTCTTGTTACCCACCCTCGTGCCTCTTTGTCCTCTGTCTCCGCTCTTACTGCTGCAGTCACTGAGTTTGCCTCTACTTGCCACCTTGACTACGCCACCACTCTTGTGGCTGCTCCTCCTACCAGTCCTCTGGCCGTCGGGGGTGTGTCTGCCCTTGGCTGTGACGCCCTAGAGGACAGGCAGTTTGAGCTAGAGTTCCTGGCAGCCGCTTCCCCTCATCTCTGTGCCATGCTCCTCGCCCCTGAGGGTGACCCCGACGCCCTTGACATTCCGACTCCTCGCACTTACGCTGAGGCAGAGTCAGGGACTTGGGCCTCTCAATGGAGAGCTTTCATGGACGCAGAGATGGCCTCCTACAGATCCACAGGCACCTACGTCGATGAGGTTCCCCCCCCTGGGGCGAACGTAGTCGACGGCATGTGGATCTACAGGGTGAAGCGGCCACCGGGATCTCCTCCGGTCTTCAAGGCGCGCTACGTGGCTAGAGGTTTCAGTCAGCGCGAGGGAGTTGACTTCTTTCAGACCTTCGCACCTACCCCGAAGATGACCACTCTTCGGGTGTTACTACACGTAGCAGCACAGAGAGACTACGAGTTACACTCTCTCAACTTCTCCACTGCTTTCCTACATGGCAGCCTACACGAGGAGGTCTGGCTACGTCGTCCCTCTGCCTTCACTGGCACTTTCCCTCCTGGGACCCAGTGGAGGCTGAGGCGACCTGTCTACGGTCTTTGCCAGGCCCCTCGTGAGTGGCACGACACTCTCCGCTCTACCCTCTCTGACCTTGGATTCCAGTCGTCTTCTGCTGACCCGTCGTTGTTCGTTCGTCGTGGCTCCACACCGTTCTTTGTTCTGGTCTACGTCGACGACCTCATTTTCGCCACTGTTGACAGAGTTGCTTGGCAGACATGAAGTCCGAACTGCAGAAGAGACACACATGCACTGACCTTGGTGAGCTGCGCCACTACCTTGGCCTGCAGATCACCAGGGACAGAGCTGCTCGCACCATTACACTCTCACAGTCACACATGGTGCAGCAGGTCCTTCAGCGGTTCGGGCTCTTTCACTCCACAGTACAGCGCACACCTCTTGCTGTTGACCACAGACTCACTGGACCCTTTCCTGACGAGCCGTTTGAGCCTAGTGGTCCCTACGCAGAGCTTGTGGGTTGCCTCATGTACCTGATGACTTGTACTCGCCCGGACCTCGCCTTCCCTCTCAGCGTCCTTGCGCGCTTTGTTGCACCAGGGAGACACCGTCCTGTTCACTGGACAGCAGCTGTGAGGGTGGCGAAGTACCTAGCGACGACATTAGGCGTGGGGCTAGTTCTTGGAGGGCAGCAGTCTGTCGTACTCACTGGTCACTGTGACTCTTCTTACGCTGACGACGCTGAGACTCACAGGTCTACTCAGGGGTACTGTTTCAGCCTGGGCTCTGGAGCTGTTTCCTGGCGGTCCACGCGCTCCTCTTCGGTCTCGACCTCTACAGCTGAGGCTGAGATCTATGCTGGTGCCATGGCGGCACAAGAGCTGCGTTGGTTGACGTTCTTGCTCGCCGACCTTGGTGAGCGGCCGAGCTCTGCACCGACCTTGTTCACTGACAACAAGGCGTCGATTCTCCTTTGTCGAGAGCCGCGACTGGAGAGCAGAGTGAAGCACATTAACGTCAGGTACTTTCTTCTGCGAGAGTTGCAGAGACGTGGACAGGCTCGCTTCGAGTTTGTGGAGTCTGAGGCCAACACTGCAGACATCTTCACCAAGGCGCTTCCGCCTTGTGACCACCAGAGGTGCTGTGTACAGTTAGGCCTTGTTGACACTGGTTCTCGTCTTGCTTAGTCTTGAGTTCACTGCCTACTTTGCTTGTACCCTTTCTATATAACTCTGTTATTTCTTGGACTGGCCTTGTGGCCAGTGTTGTTTGTGCTCAGAGTGTGTGGTGACGTTGTGATCCACCCTGAGCTTTGTTTCTTTGTGACTGGTCTTGTGACCGTACACTTTTGGTTTTGCTAGACACCCCTCACTTAGGCTATGGGGGTGTGTCAAATGTTGTAGCCTGTAGTGAGGTTTGTCTTAGGGGGTACAAAAGTTAGGGTTTGCCATATGTACCCCAACCAACATCAATGCATCATCACTTCCTTTCTTGACACCATGACCGTATAACATTAGTTCCACCAACTTTTGTTGTACCGTCATCGCCCGGATATAAGACATATATGTCTTATCTCGTACACGGGCAAAAATGCTTGAGTTATCTTGTAAACGGGATGGTTTAGGGTGTCTTATAAGTCTTATAAATGGGAACTTTTCTAAAGTACTTAGAAAAATTTTCACACATCTTGAAAAAAGTTTCTCATTAATTGTGTGGATGTTGCGAAGGTGCCACTTCGGCAACCATTGTTCGGGACGCCACGTCATGGAGAACACTTGCAGAGGCAAAATCGGTAGTACGTGAGTCAACACGTGGCAGAATTCGCGTGTCGCAAGGGTAAAAATGTACGCGATATTTCTATTTTCACTATAATATATTGCAGTTTCGATCAAGCCCTCAGATTCACTTTGAGGCACGTAAGGGTATCAGGGTCCCTCTGCCCTTAGACCCTGATCGTCAGGGTCGCCTAGAAAAAAAGCCTGAAAGTTCAGGGTTACTTTTTAAAAAAGTCTGATGCATCAGTGTCCCCTATAGAAAAAGGCTGAATCCCTCGTTGCGCTGCCTGCCAGCACCGCGGTGCTGCAACCTTGTAATCGGTCAAATCAGGAAATACAGTCAAAGTGGCCAATCATCGCACCAGGCGCGCCAACAAAGCATCCCTCACCGAGGGCAAATTTGTCTGGTACTCACCGCCACGCCCTGCTGACACCGCGGGAATCTGATATTCCCTGTACTGCCGGGCAACTACCGGTACACTCGGACCTTGTAGGAATCGCTTTCAGGGTCGGATTCGTTACAACGTAGTGGAATCAGTGTCACTTCAAAAAAAATTGCTGAAAGTTCAGAGTTATGTGGCAGGTAAAGGCTGAAAAATCAGCCCCACAAAAAGCTCAACACTGGAAAATCAGTGTAGGGTAAAAAAAAACCCTGGAAATCAGGAATTTCAGGGAAAAATTCCTGATATCGTAGGGCCTGGTTTCGATTATAAGACACATATGTCTTATCTCGTACACACAAATAGGTGTCTTATAATGAGGCTAGCCTGTTTATAAGAGACACCCGTATAGTAGACAACCCCTGTCTACTATTCAACAGTCTTATATCCGGGCGGATACGGTAGTTTTTGTGGCCTCATGAGCTAGCCTTGTGGCCGTTTGAGGCTGGCTAGTCATACCACCCTGAGTTGCATCTCCTGGTTTATTGGTTTTCTTGTGTAGTGTTTTGACCCTCTGTTTGTCTTGCTCGCTTTGACACCCCTCATTTAGCCTATGTGGGGGTGTCAAACGTATTTTTAGAACCCCATAATAGAGCTCATACACATTAAGATTCTCATTTCATGCCCAACAAGCATTCATGTGCTACTCTGTCTTGACAGTCTTTGGGCGGCGAGGCTTGTACACCAGTGACAAGAAAATCAGGAGAATCGGGGTGACAGTGCCACAATAGTACATGCCACTATAGGCTGAGTATGCACCCGATAGAGTCATCACCTGCACCAAGAATAGCCATAGCAAACAGAGTCAAAAGGGAGAGGCAATGCACATAACGGAGTGGGCATAATCGAGGCATGGAAGCCCCGAGTGGAATATTAGGTGCCAGCAGAGGGACCATGAATAAAAAAACAGTAAAGCATGCACACTTACGCAGAAGGCACTGGCCATGTAGTTGCATACGAAGATGCTATAGAGGGTATGAAGAAGTGCCACAATGCGGTGGGTGATGGTGGCCCTGGGGATCCCTGCAGTGAGCTGGTAGATGGCTGCATGAGGGGGAAAAGAAACAAAGGGAAGGGGAGCAGGGAAAGATTTGAGAGGGATGCATTAAAGCGCAAGTTCGCAGGAAGTGGTGAGCCCAAGTAGGTAACATGTTATGCTCCCATAGTGGAGAATTGGAAATGGGAAATGGGTATGGGATTTTGGTATGGAATGGCGGTGGGAGTTATTATGGGAACGGGAATGGCAAATGGATCTGGCAAGGGCAATGGGAAGGCACAGTGGAATTGGATGGGTATGAAAAAGAAAAGGCTCAGAAGAAGGGATGGAATGGGATAGAAGTGCAAAGAAGCGAATGGAAATTGAATGCATGCGGAAAAAAGAAAGAAAAAGGAAAGAGAAAAGACTCACACGCACGCACACACACACACGCACACACATACACAAAACAAAACAAAAAGCTTGTCAGAAGAGCAGCAGATTAAGAAGTTGTTGTGGCCATCGTTTTTCACTCATGCAACAACGAAGTTACATCACAAGAAAAGTGGCTGACTTGGGGTGTGTTGCGTGCACACCTTTAGAGCTGGCAACAACAAGCGCCCAATTGGCGAAGAAGATGAAGTCACCCCAATTCAAGCCCTGTTGGTAACACAGAGTGGGGGGTTGGAAAAAGTGCACATGGTCAAGAGATTATGGATTGGGAGAGACACAGTCTTTGATACCAACTAATAATCTGTAACAGAGAGCACAAGTGAAAGCAGCAATGCATTCATATGTCACTGCGTGCATGAGACGCATGGAATGGGCTAAGGAAGAATGCACATAGGAGGGGGTAAGATTGAATACACATGGGAGAGAGAAACATGCAGCCGGGTAAGGAGAACGCACATGGGAGACGGCGCTGACGAGCATGGTGGCGAGCATATGGAAGAAGGTGGGCTTCCTGCCAGGTGGCACCATGCGCTCGTACACGTCTGTGTGGGGCGCAGGTGGGCGGATGGCAGGGAGTCACAAGGGCGCCGCGGACAAGCACGACGCACGACGCATGACGCATGAAGAATGAAGCAATGTTGCATGGTGAAGCATGAGGCAAGCATGATACGTGAAGCACGAAGCTGAAGCATGGAGCATGAAGTATGTGCGTGCCAGCCAATGAGGAAAGGAATCGAATGCTGGGAGCACACAAACGAGAGAAGAGCGAGGTCTTGGAATGGTTCAGAGAGGTCCAAAGAGGTGCAGAGAGAGAGCCACAGAGTCAGGTGGAGGTGCAGCGCAGTGTGGACTCACAGAGTCTGAGCCAGAGCCCATAGGAGATGTTCCACGTGGTGGCGAAGTCAAGGCAGCTCCTGGGGAACTCAACCCTCAGGATGTCCACATTCCGAGCCCGGCTCCACAGTGCCTTCCGCTCCCCTGCAGGCGCCGCACACGCCTTATCACCCTCCTGCTTCCCCACATCCCCATCACCACCGCACTTCCCATTGACCTTTGGCCCCTCTGATTCCCCCCCATTCAACTTCACGTTCCACCCATTCAACTTCACGTCCCCGCCCTTCCCAGCGTCCCCCGTGGGGTTGTCCCAGCCGCTGAAGCCCAGCCCGGCGGTGATCATGGCGGCCTCGGTGATGCTCCAGAGGATGTACGCGCGGAGGCGCCACACGATGCCAGCGTGGTACGCAAAGAGCCAGCGCAGGTGGAAGGGGTACGCGCGGTTCTGGTGTAGGTTGCTAATTTGAGTGAGGTCGAGCGAGGGGGACACGAGCAGGAAGACGAGCGCTGCGAGGCCGCCCTGGATGAGCGCGCGGAGGAAGGGCGGGAGGACGTATGGCTGCTTGAGACCCGGGGCCCAGACCTGCAGGTGGAAGGTAGGGGATGGGTGAGAACGTGCATAATGATGAGGCGAACGGTGGAGAGGGGGACACAGGGGAAATGTGAAAACCCTGAAGAAGCATACCCCTTGTTGTCAGGTCCAGTCGTGATACGCCGTGAACTCGTAGAACGGGCATGTGATGTGCAGCCCGAAGGAGAACAAAATGCCTTTTGAGTAGACTCAAAGTCATCTTGGTATGGAAGCAGGTAACAACTGAAAGCGTACCCCTTGCCGGTGGGTCCAGTCGTGGTACGCCTTGAACTCAAAGAACGGGCCTGTGATGTGCAGCCCGAAGCAGAACAGGTACCCCATCAGCTGCAGCACCGTCGGCATGGTAACCAGCGCCGCCTTTCGCCGCTCCAATCGCGAACGCTCCATCCGATCCTTCCGCCGCCTCTGCTCCTCGGTTAATTCCTTCCTCTCCTTCTCGTCCTTAGATTGCGCGCCTTCGTCCTTCTCCTCGAGCAGCGTGGGCCCGTCCTGGTAGTTATACGCAACAGCGGAGAGCTTTGTAGCGAGGACGGTGAGCGCGCCTGTGCAGTCGAGCACGCCGTCTGTGCGGGTCTCGTGGGTGCGCATGATGACGTGGCTGCAAGAGGTCCAAGCGCATCATTCGTTCAAACACCATGATTGAACGAGCGAAATTTACGAGGAAAATCCACGTGAGAAATTGAAATGGGAACGGGGGTAAGTCAAGGAAGTTCGAAGCGGGGAATGCAGAGACGAACGGATATTTGCATGAAAGTACAACTGGACGGAACAGGATGCAAAGAGGGGAAACGAGACGGGTTGAATAACGCAGAAGGCGTTTAGAGTTTGCACCAGAGGCTGCTACTGTCCTAATCTTTGGCTTGAAATCATGTCTCAACAGGCAGAAAACAATGAAAGTGAAACTTACAACCCAATCAAGTACGCGAACGTTCCGAAGAACGTTAAGACGCCGCAGTTTCTACGAAACAGCCGCATTACGGCCATGGAGTAGAGCAAGAACATGAAGAAGTGCGCGTCCGCCGTCCATCCAAACACGAACGCCGATAGAAGCAGTCCCGTTACTGTGCAGTACAGATGGCGGAGTGTAGGAGATAAGATAAATCTGTGAAGCCACGCGATCGGGACGAACGCGAGGCTAGCTAGAAGGAAAGTCGCGGCTGGACGGGGCGTGCCGATAAGGTCAGCGAAAGCCTGTATGGGGTCCATGGCGGACCCCAACACAAGGAGAAAGAATGGGCCGATGCGGAGGTGAAAGGCGGGTTGAGGCTGTTCTTGCTGTTCTTGTTCTTGTTCTTGCTGTTCCTGCCGGTGTTCCTTGCAACGTACTCCCCGCCATTTTATATCAGCTTTTAAAGCAAGCAAGAAAAATTTTCAAGAGGCAAGAAAAACACGAACTCCGTCAGACTACGACCAGCATCACCACCGCAGGCTACTAGCTATGCAAGGTACCACCAAAGACTAAGAATGATTTCGGCATGACTGCCATTGACACTAATTGAGTCTCTTAGCCGTGACTGAAATTGAGGACGTGTCAGATTTTTTCGTTTCGGAACTACACCAGTGACAAGCATGAACCATATGTGTATGGTGCCCTCGGGCCACCATGCGGACAAGAAACGAATTACTGTACTAATTTTTTTGCCAGACATCGGTAGGAACTGTAAATGGTAACTCGATGCTAAACGAATCCAGTCATTAGACGCGAACTCAAAATCCGTCGCAAAACAGGAAACAACATGAACCACAAACAGAACGATGTGTCTCTGCGTGCGTGTAGGAAAAGCAAACACGTCTTTTTTTCCGACTTTCTGAGCTGACGCGGTTGCCCTGTAACAAGTGGCTACCCTGACCCGAATTGACCTGAGCTGTGGCGAGTTGCACCGAAGGCGTGCGTTGGAGCTGCCTCTTTCCCCGTTCTGCTAGCATATTGCAATCGCAATTGTGAGTGTTGGCGACGATGCAACGAAGTTGGATGCGGCGATGGCAAGCTGTCGTGAGTGTCGTGAGGATGAATCCGAAGGCACAGGCAACGACGAGTGCCGAAAATGACAGGGATATTTGACAATGCAGGTGTTACGAGTTTTAACGGAGTGCCGTAGTAACGAATACGGGGAACCGTGCCGTTGGTCTGCTTGCCACAAACCCCCATCACCTCGCCGTCCACCCTCTTCCACCTCCTCGCTCTCGTCAACCCCTTGTGTCTGCCCCCTTAGGGTGTGTCAGATCCGCTGAAAGCTGTTCTGGCTGGTTATTTGTTGACCATATTGTCGACAATTTTTTTCGCGAAAGACCGACTACGTGGTCAACTTCGTAGTCGACCACCCGTAGGCCACATCTTCAAAACAGACACTTTTGGTGGCCGAATTGCAGGGGTCTGTCAGATTTGCAGTCGAAGGTTTGGCCGGATTGTGCGAAGACGTCGCATGTTTTTCAATGATTGGTTATTTTGTAATTACCATGTGCCGTGTCGTCGCAGGCTTGAGCATGCGAAGTCGCACAGTCACTGTAGCTTAGCCTGGTCGACTTTCGAGTCGACTGCACGTCGGTTTGTTTTTGACTCATGAAACGGCCAACGGATCTTACAACATGTGGCCGGATGTGGCGAGTAGCCGAAACTTGCAAACGAGCGTCGCAGCACGGTTACTTTCGCGAAATCCGGCCGGTCGGATTAGCACGAAAGCGGATCTGACACACCCTTAGGCGGGTCATACTTGTTCTGGGCTCGTTCAACGTGGTTTAATACGGTAAACTACGTTTGGGCACGGTTGTGTTTTTTTACCACATTAGACCATTGCGCACCAGGATGAACCATTCAAACCTGGAACAAAGATAGTACGACCCGCCCATATGTTTTCGACTTGGCGCCAAATCCGTCCGTTGAGCCAGTCACCTTTCAACTTTCATCTCGCCTGTACAATCCGTCGCTCCCTGACGCTCCACAGCGCATTGATGCAGACGTCTATTAGACATTTTTTAGGCAAACGAAACGGTAGTTATAGCTGTAAGATCAATGGCGCTCACCGTTGGTACGCACTTGGCTGTACTGTTTCCGCGAGCGTCCGCTTCTCGCTCCCATTCGGTGACTCTCGATTTCGCAACGCACGTGCGAAATAGTTATACGCGGTCCACCGCCGTTCATTCCTCACGAAACTCTTCGCCGCACTTCGCCGACCTCAGCACATGCACCCACCGCAGCAAGCGGCGCAACATCCGCCACAAGCACGCTCGCAATTTGCAACGCTCCGCCCCATGCGCCGCATCCTCCACCGAATCGTCAGCTCCGGCGAAAATTCCGTCTCTTGACGAACTCCGTCGAATGCTGGAGCAGACGGAGAACGTAACGCCAACGGAGATATCAGAGACGGCTCGGAACGGAGGATCAAACGGAGAAGGAATCGACGGTGAAGGCGGGAGAGTGTGGGAGAACGTAGCAAAGGCTTCGACGCGGCTGTTCGGGCAGAGCGAGGGCGAAGGGGAGGGCGAGGAGGTGCGGGTGGTGCTGTATCGCGACGACGCAGCGTGGTGCCCCTTCTGCCAGCGCGTGTGGTTGCAGCTCGAAGAGAAGCGCATTCCGTATAGGTGCGAGCGAATTTCGTGAAGGTGAGAGCGAATTTCGTGAAGGTGAGAGCGAATTTCGTGAAGGTGAGAGAGGATTTCGTGAAGATGAGAGCGAATTTCGTGAAGGTGAGAGCGGATTTCGTGAAGGTGAGAGCGGATTCCGTACAGTTGAGAGCGGATTACGTACATGTGAGAGCGGATTCCGTACAGTTGAGAGCGGATTATGTACAGGTGAGAGCGGGGTGAGAGCGGATTCCGTACAGGTGAGAGCGGATTCCGTACAGGTAAGATGAAAAACGACGACTGGGAGAGCGGGTCGAAAGCTAAGGCAAAGCGATTGAGTGCAATCACTTGCACCTCTATCCTTTCATTTCTCGCCATCTCCCCCCATCCATCCACCATGGTTCACTCCTTTGCTCTCTGCTCCAGTCCTCCCTCCTTTGACTCATCTCTTCCTCTCTGCTCTCACCTCTACCTCTCTCCTCTCGCCTCACCTATCTCCCCCTCCTCTGCGTTTTCCCCCTCCCCTATAGTCCTCATTCCCATCCCGCCCCGCCAATGCCTCAAGTGGTACAGGAGAAATATCTCAGCTTCACCCTTCTTTCCTCTTTCCATCTCCCCTCTCCTTTGCCTCTTTCCCCTTTCCACCTTCCCCCTATCGCCCCACCCTCTCCCACCCTTTTAACACACCCAGGGTGGAAAAGATCAACCTCAAGTGCTATGGGCCAAAGCCTGATTGGTTCTTGCAGCTCGTGCCCAATGGCATGCTGCCTGCTGTCCAGGTGAGCGCGGTGGCTTGGTGGTGCGCGTGTGTGTGTGGGAGCGCACGCGCGTGTACGTGCATGAGTGCGTGCGTGTGTGTGCCAGTGCAGCCTGACAGCTGTGTGGTTGTCTGTGAACGTGCTCTTTTCATTCTTCAGTTTTCAGGCAACTGTGCGGTTAGCTACTCCTCTCAACCCCTCTAAACCTCTCAACACCACACATACACTCACCAGTGCACCTTGCTACGCCAACCACTCACCCACACAACCGCTCTCTCAATGTCTCTCATGCTCATCTTCATCCACCCAATGTAACCTTAACACACAGGCAACGCAGTCTTTGTGAGGTAATTATGCTGCAAAACATCACACCAGAATCAAACTCCCTTCTTGCACCTCCTGCCCCCTCAACTGCACTGCCTCCTCACCCGCCCGGCTAGACAGCTGAGTGATCACAGGGTATGTGACTATTCTGAAGGAGATTGAAGCTGCCTTTCCCAACCACTCGAGGTGACTATTGAGTCGACACATAAGTCACTTCTTCCACTTCCTCCCCACCCGTGACTATAATGAAGGAGATCGAATCCACCTTCCAACCCCCACCTACTGCATATTCCCTACTCAATTGCCTCCCCACCCGCTCAGTCAGCTAGACGGGCGAGTGATTACAGAGTCCGTGACTATAATGAAGGAGATCGAAGCCGCTTTTCCAAGCCACTCGCCGCTCCTCCCGCCTCCCTACGATGCAAGTGCAGCAGCAGCAGCAGAGCAGCTGATGGGTTTGGAGAGAGGGTTGACTCGGGCATGGCTCAAGTGGACCAAGGGGAGGGAGGCCATCCGCTGGCTCACTGGTGGTAGTGGGGGTGGTGATAGCAGTAGGGGCAGCAGCAGCAGTGGGAGCAGCAGCAGCGGCACCAGTGGTGGCAGAAGTAGCAGTGGTGAGGGCGAAGATGATGAGGAGGAGAAAGAGGGGCGGAGGGAGTTTGAGGCAGCGATGGATGCAGTGGAAGAGGCTTTAGTTAAGAGCGGAGGACCTTACTTCCTTGGGAGAGAGGTTCGTCTGTCCGTTTCTCTGTCATGGCTCTCATCTCGGGTTTTTGCCAATCACTCTAGCAATCATTCGTCCTCACAGTCTCCACTGTTATGGGATCCGCACTACACTACACCCGTTTTGTCACATTCTTCCAAAAAACTCAAATTATAATCACTCTAGCATCTTTCCGTATGGCGGCAATACTAGGCAAGCAGTTACCAGTGCGCTATGTCACGAGTTGCAATCCGTCTCACTATTGCAAATTCTCTCTCTAGCCTTTGCCAATTCTCCCACCGGCCTACCTCAGGCCTACCTCCCTACTTCTCGTGTGCTCCTGATTCCACTACCAATCTACACCCAACCCCCCCTCCGATGCAGCTCTCTCTTGTCAATGTCCTCTGCGCGCCTCATTCTCAAGTGATAACTAATTCCATGCAGTTTCACCACAGCATCTCTCACACCTCTCTCCCCACTTCCCACGTGTTCCTAATCTCGTTCCACACCCTCCCCCACCTCCCAAGCAGTTCTCCCTTGTCGACATCACCCACGTGCCCTCGAGCGATTTGCTGCCAGTGCACCGTACTGGAAAGGCCTCACAGTGCGCAACAACCCTCGCTGGCCGGCTCTCTCCCTCTGGTACGATGCCATGGATGCCCGCCCCGCCTACCTCCCTCTCAAGTCCGATGACTTCTCCATCACCCACTCTCTCGTGCCTCAAATCGGCCCTGTGATCGCCAGCACCGATCCAACGGCTGTGGCGCGCCGGGCTTATATTGATGGGCGGGATGGGACGGGCGCGTGGGATCTGCCGTTGAGGGAGGAGGAGACGGCGTGGGGGAGGGAGGATGGGACGG